CATTGGGCAAGCCAAGAATAAAAAAGATGGAATTCCCATTGCCAACTGTATGAGTTGAGCTAGTAAGGATCCATGGCTTGATCATGTCGACTGACCAGGAGAACAGGAACCGCCTTCCCTACGACACAGGGCCAATGACTTGCCTTCGAGATACTTGACCTTTATAAGGTCAACCCAAAGGCCGTTTACATTGAAACATTTTGTGAACAATTGGGTCTAAGTTTGATATCCAGATCCCATCCCATCTTCTCCAATGATGCAAGTTCGCTGGCATATTTTGAAATTCGATCACGCTCTGCCTTGTCTTATCTTTGGAATCATCGAGTGTCCTCAACGATATGTCGAGGCACCCCATCTACCATCGTAGTGGGCTGCGGCAGAGAGGACATTTGTACACATGGTTAGAAATGTTAACCTCATAGTTCCAAGGCAGCAGCAATCTACGCTGGAGCTTCTTCGGCTGTGTCCCAATGGACAAACTCGAGGAATGGCGGAGTTCGAAAGACCAGCTCGATGAAGTGTAGTCGTCCCCTGGAAGAAGAAAAAAAACATAATCTCGACTACTAGATGGAGCCGAGGCATGAGATCCCCCTTCCCTCCATCGGCTATCTGAACGGCTGTCAGAGGAGAGGTGGATCCACGAACACGCCGGGCAAGCTTGAAGAGGATGAGTCCCTAGCCACAATTATTGACCTTCACCACTGACGGCTATCAAAAATTGATGTATTGCGATGTCCTCTGCATATAGAGGAAGAAAAAGGAATCCTTTGTACCATAGGAGATTTCTTTTGCCAAGCTTAGCACCGCATGTTCACACACACTTTCTTTATGCCAACATTTGGTTTTCAAACGATCACGGCCCAAACAAGGTTTTGGATTAAAGCCCGTGCAAAACACTTAGGAAATCATCATCGTTGGAAGAGTAAGCTTTTGTTTCTGGATTTCACTCCGTCTTAATTTTACTTTGTAGCTCTCCTTTTTGATGAATGAAACGAGGGAAATATTTTGCCTCAGACATTAGTAGAACTTAATCTAACGCAGTTACTTGCTGTGATTCTCTTAATTACAATGATCAGGGCAACAACAAAGCTTGTCTTATAGTACGAAAATCTTACTCCGCCGCGTCTGATATAATATACACTACGGATCACTGTTACTAGTCAGGTCGATCTCTGTAGTCCGTACAGTACGTACATGTAGCAGACTAGAATAGTCTATGCACGTATACGTCGCGTGCCATGCATGTATCACGTACTGTCACTCGACCCACTCCTCTGGAACTCGAGTCTTCTCATATGGGCATGCACACAACAGATGACACACTCGATACGGTGCAGTTTTTTTCTAGGCTTATACGGTACATGGAACAGCGTGGCTCTCTGCACCTGAGCTAGCAGTACTCACTCCAGCTCCATTTGATTCCGATCCATCGATCGGTACCGAAGGTACGTGTCTGCCCGTTTGCGTGCGGTGCGTTGAGTGGGAGTTGGCGCCTGGTCCTGTAGGGCTCTCGGATCTGGCCCTAGTTGGCGCCTTTCGTCGGAGGCCATTTGGCTTCGTGCCATACCTTGACGACGAACCTGAGTCCCATTTGTCTTCACCGACCCCCGACACCTTCCCTCTCCCTACTGAATTGCCGTATAGTACGGTGTGCCGATTACAAGTGCACCTTACACTCGATTGCATTCGCACTAGTAGAAAACGAGACATTAGTTGTAAGGGTCTTTAGTATTGGTTATGCAACTGGGACTAAGGAATCAGGACTAAAAGCCCCCATTTTTGCCGAAAAAGGGTTTCCCCACTTTATATACAAAGCAACCAACCGAACCATACATGGATAGGTGCTGGGGCGGAAGCAGCACAGTCACGCCCAAAAGAAACGACAGAGAAAGAACAAAAGAAAACAAATGCCGACAACGACGAGTCAACAAAAACGAAGAAGCCTTGCGATCGCTGCGCCCACCGGGATCTTCCACTAGACTCCAAGGCTCCGAAGCGCCGGCACCTATCAACACCTCCAAGAAGAATCGCGACGATGACGACGCTGCTGCCAAGGGTTCCCCCGGTACACGACGAGGCGAGAGGAAGGGTAGCCCCCGGCGCCCTCCCGGAAGGTCAGGTGGCACCCACAGGCGCCACCGCGCCGGTGTCGGCCCTGCCGACAGGGGTTTCCCCCGATCCCAACCCGCACCTCGGGCGCTCCGGATCCAGCCACCAAACCAACCACCACCCTGCGCCAACGTGGTCATGAGGCCCCCATGCCGTCTCACCACGGCACCGCGAAGTAGGGACAGCGCGGCGAAGAATCAGAGCCGGGACCAGGGCATCAGCACAGTCGGCACGTGGGAGGGCCCCACCTCCACCGTACGCGAGGGTAGCCGTCCGGACGCAATAGCAGGAGCACACCAGGCCCGTGGGCCCACAGGCCCGGCCGAGCCCTCGTGGGCCCGTAAAGTTCCCGCCTTCGCGCTGCTGCCGGCACGCCATCGGCGCCGTCGCCCCATATCCGAGCCGCTCCTCCTCCTCACCGCGCCGCGGTCAACGAGGCAATGCCGAGGGGCCAGCCCGCTAGGACCCAGATGGGGCCCGCCGAGCCCAGATCTGGGCCGGGGGCGCGACGTCGGCCACCCTGCACCACCACGCCGCCCCGCCGCCAAGGAGCAGCACCGCCACCACGTCCGCCGCCAGCCACCCCGCCGGGTCACCGGACCATCGCCAAGCCGAGCGACACCGCCGCCGCCCCTTGCCCCGGGCAAGGAGGACGCGCGCGCGGGGAGAGGAGATCCTGCCGACGACGGCACCCCCGGGCCGGAGCTGGGGACGCCCACTGGTGACGGCAGGGGAGAGGATGAGGGGCAACGCCGAGAGCAGGGGCGCGGGGGCCACCCCGGCCGCCTCCCAGGGAGGAGGAGCAAGGGTGGAAGGAGGGGTGGGGGAGGAAGGGCGGGGGAAGGGGGGCGGATCCGGGCCGCGCGC